ATAAGAGTGGAGACTATCTTATTTAATAAATGTTTTGTTTTGACATATAAGTTGTTCGTTTTTTTCATCTAAAAAAAATTTACATTAATTTCTTGATGACCTAATACATAACTCCCAAGATGGTTCACACATTTCTTTTATTTGGCCATATTTATTCTTTATTGCATATCTGTCATATAGTAATCAATAAGAATTATGAATATTATCTGTGTTCTTGATTGCTCTCTTAAAATCACCTTTAAAGGGCTGAATGGCACTACATATTCTTGCATGGATTCTTACACCATGAACATTATGAATATTATCTGTGTTCTTGATTACTCTCTTAAAATCACCTTTAAACGGCTGAATAGTACTACATATTCTTGTACTTTAAGTTGAATGAGTGAGTCTATCATCATGATGCAAGTTCAGGCACTTCCTTCACTATGTGCTATTTGCAAACATGGATTCCTGCAAGAGCCATAGGCATCTGTCATATTCTTTCAGTATTACCAGTAGTTTTAGTTATAAGAAATAGTAATAAAAAACTTTTATTTTTGAATTGACAATTTGTAGAAATAAATTAGGTTTGAATGAATGTTCACTTCTGCTATTACCATATGGTTTCCCTGCAACTGATTAGTGTAGGAAGATATGCATAGATAAGTAATACAACATAAAAATGTAGAAAGTTTGAGAACAGATGATATAAACACATCTAGCCTCAAGTTTTATTAATGTAAGGAGTATATTGATACAGATTATTAAAAGGTCTTAATCACTGCAAAACCACGAGAAATAATACAATTTTGTTATGTTACAATTACTTATTTCTTAAACGTTTTGGCCTCTGTTTAGACAGATATCTTTTAAAGTAGTTGCTTTGTGCTTACAGTTGAAGGAATGGTTGAAAAAAAAACCAAAGGCTAATTAGAATAAGCAATCTTTTCTTCTAAAATTATTTATTTTTTTAGAAAACACAAAACATCAAGAACCTTAGAACAAGATAGCTTAACTTGTATTACAAAATGAAGTGTCAAACAACCATAATTTTCTTTTCAGTAATTCCTGTAGAAGTCTGTGTAAAAGAAATATGACTGACACATAATCCTTCTTTAGGTGTATTAATTTTATGATAAAATTTTCAGTTTTAAAAACGAAGCTGTTCACTTTACATTCTAATGAAATTTATTTTGAGTGAGTTCATAATTTTTTCATATCCATTTTTATTTGGTATTCAAGAAATTGGCAATATTGAAAGTTCTTTTAAAAGAAAAATGGAGGCAGCTAAGTATGTTACAATTTTAAATTTTGAAATCTCTCATTAGGCAGCATTCATTGAATTGCTGATGTTGAATTATACTACCTATTCCAATGTTTCTCAAACTTTTCAGCCTTGTGTAACACTTTTTGTTTTTTCTTGAACAATTGAAGAATATGTGGGGCAATTTTTGTGTGAGTCTAGAAGTGAGGAGAGTAGTGTGTGTATATGTACATGAGAAGCTTAAATTGGGCTTGTTATAAATTTTACAATTTTTACATTAATTGTTGATTACCACAATTGTATCCAGAGCATTAAATATTCATTCTTTTTTTTTTTTTCATTAAAGTTCACACAGGTTGTTTCACTTACTTTAGAACACAATTAACAAGACAAATTCTTCTTCTCTACCCTGTTGTTACAATACAATCTGCAATAATATCACTTTGAAAAAAGCACCACTATATGCTTTTTATGGCTAAACACACAGTTAAACTGTCTAGATCTATCTCTATCTATCTAACTAACTAATTCTGTCTCGAAGAGTGTATATACATATATTCACACACACACACACACCCGACATCAATCTAGAACATTTCACACACTACTAGATATGATGGAACAATACTCAATTAAAGCAATGAGAAAAACTCGGAAGGTTTGAATAACATGACGTCAGTTCACAACAACTGAACTACACAATGAATGACTTGTGAGCAGTTACGTAAACAAACTTGGCATAACTGTTGCTTCTAAAAATAACTTTAATACTTGTGCTATATAAATTATCTAAATCATAATGCTAACATTAAAATTAAAATGAAACAGTCATGTATATCTAACAATAGGTTTTGACTGATCTGAGAAAGTGAAAGCATTTGAAAACAGGTTTCGTCACTGAAATGAGAATCAAAATTTAGTGCTAGATTCATTTTTTCATCAGAAACTAGACATAATAAAACTAATTGGAGAACTATTACTGGCATAAAATAGTAGTTTTTGGGCTTATGCGATAGAGTTTTAAGTAGTTATAGCTCATCCATGAGCTTGGTTCAGCCTTTGTTAAATGCAAAGAAAACATAGGCAATAAATAGTGGCTAATCAGATTTTATCAGTGAACTCGTTTGGAAATATTATGTACAATCATAGTAATTGTTAATCAAAAATAGCATGAAAATTACTCATAAATCTAATAAAATGATTTTAGAGTACTTTAGAAAGTTGAGTCTAACATGTATAATTCTGTACTATAGAACATCTAAACTAAGAAAGCAAGAAGTCTCACTTACACGAAAAGGAAATGTGATGAAAATCATGTTTGACAACATACATTTTTTTTATCACATTCCTCTTAAACAGTTAGTTGTACATTTTTAAACAGGCCTTTGTGTAAAAAGGAGCATTTCTTATCCCTTATCTGCCTATAAGGGAGAATTCATCACTTGAATTAAAAGAAATATGATCAAAAACATCTGTAGTCAAACATCATTTTATCAGACTTGTTAAGCCTAACTGAGCAGTCTTGCATAATTATATATATATTGTTTTTAGATATCAAATTGATCAAGTTTGTGTTAAGCATTTTTGAAATATGTTTGGGAATTTCAGCTACACCTCAGGAAGTGTGTACAATACTCAAATCTATTAAGCTTAATATATAAAAGTTTTATTTATATTATTTATTCCTGTACTAAAGTAGAAAAGACAATTTGGCAATACAACTTATTTCTATTACAAGAAAGTATATGTATAACTTTTTAATTGCTTAGTAGCACTAGAATATCCTTCATGTGGTTGATATAGCATGTGTTAGAAAAAGATAGTTGCATCTAAAATGAAAACTTAATTCGATAGTGTTGCATGTTTGAGTGTTTTTTGTTCTCATAAAGTACTGTGTACAAACATTTGTAGCAGTTAAAATTCTACAAGTAATATATTGTTTGAGTGAAGTTGATAATAAAAGTATTTAAGGTAGTTTCTAATTCATTTAAATGTTCTCTTTCCCTGTACATTTCTCTGAGAACTTAACAGGTTGCATGTGTTAATGTGTACATTAGTCATTAACTGAGTAGGAACTTTGTGTTAGTTGTATTTTCAACGTCTTTATTCTTAATGTGTGATGTGAATGCTAATCTGTATAGGATTAGATAGGACCCCACATTGGTAATAATAGACTTATGCAATTTATTTTAAATCACCCCTATCTGAATTCAGATTATGTTATAACTATTTTATAGGAGGTTTTTCTGTAGATATTCCAGTGTATACCATAGAAGTGCTTATTGGTTTGAATAGAGATGAGTAAAAGTAATAATAACAGAACAATGTTTTAGTATTTAGTAACTTTGTGCATTCCTAAGACAATGAAAACAATAAAAAGTTATTTTTATGCTTCGATTAAGACATTTTGTTAATAACCTGTATTTTTTTTTCTGAAAGGTTGAGAGAAAATCTGTTACTGTGCTGAGTCGTTGGCAAAGAACTTACTCAATTAAGACGGTTCTTCAAGAGCTTCGTAGAGCTATGACACTGAAAGAAAATCAAAGACTTAGTCAGCCACCAGAGAACTCCACATTTTAGAAAGAAAGAACTGTTTGAAATTCAGTAATAATTAGCAATTTGTAGCTCCTGTGTTGCTTTTCAGCACAGAATGTATTCAAAGTGAGGACATTTGGTTATGAAGTCTTCATTTTCTCTCAGTTTGAATTGTGGACCAGCTTTGTTGCATTATTCAGTGAGTTTGCTTTATTCTTTATTCCATGTTAAAGCAAACATTATATTGAGTTCATAATAAATTTAAGCCCATGGGCTTTTGGGAACAGTAAATGAAGCATGGAAAAAAATAGCTTTCAGCTCCTTTTAGGACAAAGATGCCAAGCAAAAAGATGTTTATTTTTCAAATTAGAATATTCAGATAATGGTGTTCTGTCAAGATGGATGTTTTCCATAGCAGCCTCTCAGATCTCAGAAATCATCATTTTTGTGACAAAAAAATGTCTTGTGTTGCCCTGTATTTCATGGTTTATTTTATTGATGACATGATTTGTGTACTATTTGCTGTACAAGAATATTTTGTATTCAAAAAGAACTTTAACACTGAAAATTAAAACAAAGCATCATTCATGCTTAATATCTAACCATTTTATTTTACCACTATATTTTAAATACCTGTTTAACTAATTAGTCAGACATCTAATCTTTATACAAAGAAAGTAAAAACTCTTGATTGCTTGTAAATTAATCATCAAGAATATAAGCAAGGTTTCATTTCCTTATGATATTCTGTGACATTTCTTTAGTTTGAACAATTATTATAGTAGTACAGAACTGGCTAAAGTATTTACTAGTTTGTTGCTCAACTGATATACTCTCAACAGTTGTTTGTTCCTTGTACAATTGTGAAAAATGAGTGATATCAGAAATTTAACAATAATTTAATTAAAATCTTTATAATGAATGAGTATGTGTATTTATTTGTATTTTAAACTCTATTGGCCATGTGAAGAATAATTGACTAAAAATGGCTTTGTTGAAACTTGTCAATAAAATCTGTTGTGTATGTGAAAGCAGTTATATGCCAATAAAAAAAAATTACTCCTCAGATAACTTAGTGTTTTTTCTGTAACAGAAAGCATATATACTTTGAGATGAAAATTGAAAATTCAACAAGTATTTCAGCAGATTGAATGAACATATTCAAGTGAATGATTTACATAAATAACTACAGCTTTTACTAACTTTGAAAATTGAAATTAAAGAAAAGTAATAATTAAAAAAAAACCCACTAAGATAGTGCAGATGAGAAATTTCCACTAAAGGTACTTTCTGTTAGTAGAAAATTAATGCAAAGATTTTGGGTTTATTCTGAATTATTTTCAAGTAAACCTTAGTCATATGACTTTACTTATGGTATAGTGTAATAACTCCATTTTTTGTGTGTTCATTTAAACTTTGCTTGATACTTTCCTTCTCCAGCTGTTCATGGGGGTGGGGGGGGATACAATGATTACATATCTACAATTTAATCTAAACATTTACATGGGCTTTCTTGTGGTATTTTAAGATTAGATATACTTTGAAACTCCAATATTTACCACAAGAATTAATTATATGAATATGTCGAAAATAGTAGATACTATTGAAATTTCTTACTGATAAAACTATTCATATACCATACATTATTTAAAACAAATTGATAAATGGTTGAAGAATCATATTTTTAAGATTCATTTGTCTTTGTTCTTAAAATTTGTCAATGTATTCTTTTTTTACTAATTTATAAGCATAGAATATTATGAAATAAATTTGTTCATAGTTTGTTATGTATGCAAAACCAAATTTGATTTTGTAAGACTTACCGTGTTAGATAAATTAGATTACTCTATTAGTGGGTTTTAGTAAAAGATGTGTCCAAATGTGAATTTTCAGGATGTAAATTTTAGATAGCAAAAAACTGATTCAGCTTCATTAGTGTGTTCTGAAGCTCCTAATATCTATATGATTCAGCTATCTGAGCCCAAAAAATGTCAGTCATTGAACTAATTCATCAAAAGTCCTTTAAATGTTTTCATAAAGAAGTAACACATAGTTACTATTCTATACAGTCCAGACCCGCACACCGGTCAACGAGATATAGCAGTCAACCTTTAATTACAACCATTTTGGCTTAGTCCCAAATATTTCCTTTTATTTTATGTTCGTAAAATATCTACTATTATGGGCACTCGTATTGCAGTCAACTTGGCTTGTGGTCACCTGTTTTCCAGTCCCAAGTGTGTTCTCTTTGAACTCAGTATTGTGGCCACTCAGGCCAGCTCTCATCTACCCCTGCCCAATTGAGACCTGTCAATCAAAGTGAGGCCACTACCGTACATCGACTGATAGTGGCCACATCTTGTACATGTTACAAACCAGGTGACCATTGATGTTCTCTATTAATGGCATGCTAATCCTTCCTGATGCTTCACACCTCATGCTGTACTGATGATCACACATACACAATTAAACAAACCGTATGTTTTAAACTGTCATTTGTAACACTTCTAGTTCGATGTCTCTTTGTTCTTCTTGTGAACAAAAGATTTGTTCAAAAGTAAAAATTTGCACATTCATTTCAAGTTTTGTCGCCTTACCTTCCATTTTGTAATAGAACTCTGCTTTCTCAGCCAAATCAATTTTGTCTGTTCTATTGATGGAAATGGTAGAAAGTTGTTCTTTCATTGTTTGAGTATCATTACCACCAGGTGTCACCATGTGCCCATAAACAACAGTGCCATGCCTTGGTCTCTGATACTGTGTGGTGCAAAGAAAAGTCATGAAGCTCATTGTCATCCTAAATTTTGCTATTATCTGTTAATCAAGAATACAGTATAGAATTTTATTTTTTAGACAATGACTGCAAAAATAAGTATGTAAAAATGTTATTACAACATTCTGTATAAAACAGGAACATAGAAGTGTGAGTATTATGGGCAAGTTGTAGGGGTATGTACTGTGCCTTTGAGACCTCTGTCTGATCCCAGAGTTGACCCTGGTAATATAGCCACCCCGCTATGCGGCCATTAATTACTTAGACCCACAGATGACCAGATAAATGGGGCTGGACTGTATACTATTTAATTCTTTAACGAACCATAAATGGCAAGAAGTATATAAAGACAAACATAGATAGAAAAGAAAAACACCTCAAAATGTTATCATTTTTCCAAAGTATTAGTGATTTTTGTAAAAGTTAATAAAGGTTATGTAGCATAAAAAACCTTTAAAATAAAATGTTACAGAATGATATATTGATTAAATTAATCTGACTTTAATAATATTTTTAGTAAGATAATTTGTATGAATTCTAAGAAGCTGGAAGTTTACTACTGTATTCAAGTCTACTTATACTATTAAAAAAAACTAAAATACAATGTTGTATATACTGGTTCCTTATAACTATAAAATTGTTCATTTACAGCATATTCAAAATTTACTTTCATGTTTTTTTTATTTTTTAAAACAGGGATTGCTAAATATAGAAAACTATATTACTTGTCACAAGAGATGAGGATTAGGCCTATTACATTTCTAAATACTACATTCTTAACCTAGTCCCTTAGGGGTTTTAAAAAATTAGAAAAGTGTATAATAATAATATTGCAAAAACACTTATATTTGTCATATCCATTGCCAATGATGCATTTTGCTGACTGGGATACAACAAACAGAGTAGTGGTCGGAACTCTACTAGACTGAACAAAATCCATTGTTGAGAATTGTAGAAAATCCTATCATTTCTTTGATGGTTCATGAAGAGAAATTTTTACTTAAAAGATGGGACTTTACATGTAAACCTATTTAGTTATGTTATCTGACACGCACAAACATACATTTGTTTTAATTTTGCTATCAGAAGGTGTTAGCTACACTGTGTAGAAAATTAATTGATCTTGGTATATCATAATAAATTTTAAAATCTGCATACAAATGACTTAATTTATAGTCTATTAATGTATAAAAGTTTACAATTTTCTTAACCACACTATACCTTAATTACTAAATTTCTGAATTTGTTACATTTTCATCAGAACAATTCTTATTACCATTTACTGGAAGATATACATGTGTGTGTGTGTGTAATGTAAATGTATGTATACACACAAACTTGTATACATTAATGAAAAAGCAACAGAGAATAATTCCCAAATCTATTATGTGTAGTTCAAAAAATAAATAAAAGGATACATAATAATTTGACTTATTTCTTAAAGTTCTAAAAAATATCTTCAGAATGCATACTAAAACTTGAGCAATTTTATGCAGTGTTAGATAATCTATTACATACTGTTACAATTTAAGTCAATTTGATTAAATAAAATCATCTACTTTTGGATATTTATGAATGTTTGTAACTTATAAAAAAAAAAAGTGGAAACAGAAACCTACTATTAAATGCCTCTTGATTAAACCAATCCATTTTTTATTAACATATTTTATTTCTCTGTACAAGCAGTACAAATAAAGAAGCCATCATTTATTAAGAATCTTGTAACAATTCTTTCTCCAAAGAAATTTTATTTTTATAAAACAATTGATTATAAAACACGTTTTAAAGGAAAGTGCACCAAGTACAAATAGAGATACAAATTAAATAATTTATTATAATGTGTGAAAATTTTAACTACAATGATAATTCGTTTTTTTTACAAAAGACAAGTTTATACAGGAACATTTTTATATTACAATTACAGGTACTAGGTAATTACTATTCCACAAGATATGTTCATTTACACACACTATAATTATACATTGTTCATATTAACATAATCTGAGAAATACTTTGAAAAGAAAACACTTTGCAAGTGATGAAAGATCAAATACTTTCCTGCAAGAATCGAGTGCAAAATAATAAATATCACAAGTCAGTAAAGTGAAGTTTCCATTTTATCAAATATGAAATGAAAGAAACAGAATAAACTTAGTTTCATTTCAGTCTAAGGCCGAAAAAGACGATATTGTATCTATTCGTGGACGGACTTTTACATCTTCAGCAACAATGCAGATGGTTATTCTTTATGCATGTGCCACACAGCACAAATGAACACGGATTTCTTTCATATGTGATCTGTGAGAACCTTCTCATGCTACCATGAACATAATTATTCATTTCCTTCAGTATATATTCCATCTGCCATAACTAACTGAAGAATCATTGTGGCTAAGTGTTCACGACCTGGCCCTAAAATTCTATGTACTCGATCTAGGCCTTCCGAAATACTTGCATCATCATCATCATGGAAGGCTTGCATTTCTTTGTAAACTTTAAAAAAAAAAGTGCAACATAAAAGTAATTAAAATTCATGAAGAATATACCATGATACATAACAGCTTAATTTCATATTAAAAAGATCTTACAAAAGAAATATGTTTATCAACCAAATGCAAATATTTCTAAAATTCAGACATGTTAAAATACTGAAAAATTTTAAAAACTTACTGATTTTACGCATCATTGTAATAGCTTAAAAAATGTTATTGTTACTAAGGCTGTTTTTATTCATAATTCAAATAATACAAATTTGTTTCCTGTTCAAGATTATTAACATTCTTATAATGAAAATGTACTTCCAATAGGTACTTACTTCCTGTCACACAAAAGCTATCTTGATCCTTGTCTGCCCTCTAAGCATTGCTAAAAGAATTTTTAGTAATCAGCACACCAGTCTTTATACCCCACCAATTTCACACCATTCTGACCATGTACATATCACATGATTACTCTCCACTAATAATACTGCTTCACCTATAACAGTGCAGCTAGCTCCCTCTCCTATTCTCACTTTTGAAAATTGGCAGGTACTAGAATAAAAACACCAGTTTTATTAGGGAGGAAATGTGGGAAGTGTTCAAGAGGAGGTAAGTACCTAGTGGAAATATATTTTCAGTGTAAGAAAATATTAACTTTCGAAACTTACCTTCTCTAACACAAAAGCAAGAATCCTACATTGTAAGGGTGGAGGGCTAGTGTAGGCAAACAAAGAACAAACCAAGGGGAAAGTGACCACCCAGAATGAATAGGTGTGCTCGGGGATGGAAATGAAGTACACCTGTGGGGTATTGCACTACTTCTGAAATGGGTGTGCTCTTCATCCAGGAATGGGGAAAGGAACACCAAATGGGCAGAAAAGGTAGTGCTTGTACAATTGTAAAAGCATTAAGAAGATGCAAGCTGTAGCATCATATAACAAGAAAAAAAAAAGTAATAAGAATAATTGGATAGAGTATGAGAACCATGTTATCGATACCCAACCAAGTCACAAAACCTCCGTGGGAACAAGAAGTATGACAAATTGAACCTGCCATTACAAAGTCTTGGCATTGCTTTGACTCAACTGTAATAACAGGGAAAGCTATAACCAGTATTATGAGAAAAATCCTAACTCACCTAAACGTAAATGCAAAGCAGAGACACCCTGTATCCAAAATTATGGGGAGGACATACAGCATTCACCCAACTCTAGGAACAGAGTGGACATCCAGTTGCTGGTATTACGAGGCAGATGAAGTTTCTCAAACCAAACTGTAGAAGCAGGAAAGAACATTCTGAAATCAGAATTAAAGAGAAGAGATACGTCTACTGCACACAACCACAGGAACAGAACCCACAATTATGAGGAGGATCCAATGTAGCCTGGCCCCAATTATTATTTGATTATTAGTTTTATTGAGTGCAGTCTGTTCAGGCATAAAACATCCAGTGGGGAAGTGCCAGTAGGGAACCAGCTTCGCTCTCTTCTCACTGAGTGGATAAATGATCGTAATTAAAGTAACATGGAATTACACTCAGGAGGAAGCCTCCATGGTCCACCACTCCTGTGACTGGGAATTGAGAGTGGTAAGGACGTCCATGCTCCACTAGAATATAAAGGGGGAGGGGGGGTCTGTAGGAACATCACACAGTGCAATGAGAAACTATGTTTCTCTATTTTGAAATGCAGACAAAACCTATTAAGGAATCAAAAGATTGGCAAGGTACGGCAGAAATCCCCTTCTGCTTTACTCATGAAGTCCATGAGTGATGGATCACCAAAGATATAGTTTTAATACTTTCTAATACATAGATATACATATACATCATCAGGAAAGTGCCCAGTAGTCTTATAAAAACACCCTATCTCAACCCTGAGCATTATATGGTTACTTCCATTAGTGTGGGTTTGAGACAAAGCATACCTGATCAGGCAACACCTGCCACAAGGTGGGATCCATAAAGAAGGTGCTAAGAGTAGGGAAGTTGAAAAGAAAACATAGATGAAAGGAAGAAATAAGACTTACCCCAGGCAAAGGCAAACAGACGTGTAGAATTGCCATTGGAGAAAGACGATACCCAAAAGATGAAGACACAACCAGTTCTAGTATATAATGAGCAACGAAGGTATTTGGAGTAGTTCACATTTCAGCCAAATGATCTCCTTCAAAGGATGGCAAAATTGAGCAGCAAAAGACATAGTAATGTGATGAATTGTAGAGACAGCAATCTTCCACAGACAAGTACGAATAAGCCAGCTGGATGAGTTGATGAGCCCAACCAGTGAGAGTAACAGGTTACAGAACACTGGAAGGAGGAAGGAAGAATACTATCATCAGTGGGAATGGACATGGAAGAATGGCCTCATGGATCAGGAAGGAAGAATGCAAAATGTGGAGTACAACCCTGGGCTGAGACAATGGAGAAGACAAAACCATGCGTGAAGACAGAGAGTGGAATCATTTGTGGAATGAGGAACCACTTTGTGATGAGTAATCTTGGTGGAAGATAAATGAATCACCACCAGATGGAAGGAACCTGGAAAAAGACAAGTGAAGACCACAATGTGATGACAGTGGGCTCAGAAAAAGAGACCCAGGATCTGAAAGCACAGAGACCATGAATTGGTACCCCCTGGCTCAGCTCAGTGATATAAATGACCACAGTGGAAGGTGGGAATGTGCCATAACCACCACCTGGAAATCTCTCAAAAGTCAAGATAAGAACCTCAGACCCCCTAAAGAGGAGTATGGGAACAGACATAAATCCGTATGAGGCAGAGTAAGTAGAACCTCTGTTGCAGTCCGGACTTTGTTCAACCACCAAGCTAGAGATTCAAGAAGAAGTTCCACTGATCAAGGAGTGTTCACTGAAGGAAATGCACATGAGTCCGACCCATGGGAATGAGAGCTTCCAAGGAAGTCCACATCCCAAAGAGATGGGTCATATTGAGCTATAAGAAAGGTGAAGAACATGTGAACTGCTTGCTTCAAAGACAAAGAGGAGAAGGCTGGGCCTGACTGAGGTTGAAAAGAAGAACACCCCAAATGAATGGATTATTGAGAGGGGGGTCAGAATGGACTTCCCCCTTGTCATAAGGAAGCCAACCCATTCTACATCTTGTAGGAGCAGAGGAGTGTGGACTCTATACTGAGAACAGGAGGAAGCAAGCAGGAGCCAGTCAAACCAGAGAAGGAAGAATGCAAGACTCATAGAGTGAAAAAGTTTAGCTAAAGTTTGTATTCCCTAACGAAATATGTAAAGAGTTGTCTAGGAACACCTACATAGGTAAAGGAACCTATACTCAGCTCAGCCCTATGAATGGGAAAGAAATGAACATGCCAGTGAAGTAAGAAGGCAAAATTTTAAGTTCCACACTGACGAAAATTAGGAAGGAATGGCACAATTGAACACTCATAAAAAAAAATTCAGATAGAACAATGAATAGATATTACTTGTAGTAATGATATGTAACATACCAGCTATCAAAGTATACCCAGTAAACAAAGGACTGACCAACATCAAATGGGCAAAGTGTCAAAATTTTTCTGGTCCACAATAAATGTAAAAATAATGAACGTGCCAAGTGACAGAACTTACCAAGAAAACATGATAATAAGTAATATCTAAGGTACAAGACAGAGAAGTAACTTGATTACAAGGACACAGAATTAAGACCTACACTAAAATAATTAGGAGGAAAAGATAAGTACTTAATGATTCAAAGAGAACAAAAAATTATTTGTTACTGGTAGTAATGATATGGAAAGTACACACTATTGAAACATATCTGACTGATAAAGTATTTATATATGAAACAGACAAACTATCTAAATATACAGACAGTCCACAAAGTATGTAATAAAAACGAATGTGTAAACAGATGAAAATTACTGAGAAAACACATAAATTATCAATATCTAACATACCATTACACAAAATTAACTGAGGTGACAAAGGACATGTAATAAAATCTGAAACTGAAGTAAATGGGGATGAGAAGGCACATAGGTAACAACCATGTTAAAAAAACAAAACAAATAGAACAATGAATTTTATGTTACTAGTAGTAATGATAAGTAAGGTACAAGCTATCAAAACATGCAAAGTTAATAAAGGACTTATAAATAGGAAACAGACAAACAATTTAAATGCACCTAGTCGATAGAATATGTAATATTAACGAACAAGCAAAACAACGAAAATTACCTAGAAAAACACCTGAATAAGTAATCGCTAATTTACTATAAGTCACAATTAACGAACTAACAAAATTCATAAAATTAACTAATGTGTATAACAATAAAATTTCCCGAAATTACAAAGTAATAATTAATGTCTAATGTACAAAGTAACATAGATAACAAAGTACACCTAAATATCTAACTTACCAGCACTGATGACATAAAATACATGTCTCCCATGTGTAAAGAAGGGCAAAGTTATGCAAGGAGCATCTGAACCAGGCCTACCACAGGTACATCAACCTGGTGTGAAGTGTACATGATGAAAATCTTACCACAAATCTCTTGGGAGAACTTGAAGCTAGAGGAAGAAAGGAGGAGAAGAACAAGTTTGCCGCAACTCAAAGATGTGGTGGCCAGCACTGAGGAAAGGTGCCTGAAAGAGGAGAGACCAAAGTGGCAACTCAATGAATGTCTTCTTCCTTAGAAACAGTGTCATGTTGAATAGAAGAAAATGCCAGCCGAACGTAAGACTAATTGCCTGCAAACCAAGGCATGTACTTCCTCAGCAGATAAAGTCGACCCCTTGTTCTGGGAAGTCATACCATGTGCATTCTCACCTGCTGCAGTAATACTGTTGTCCACTAGAGGAAACCTTGAATTTATAATAAAGCACGTAGAATTTGGGAATGAGAAAATTTCGAAAGCAAATTCATGGAAACAAATGATATGAAATGCAGAAATTAAAAATTGTTGAATAAAATTTGTTGGAAACAGCAACAAAGCACAATCAAAAACTGTAGTCATTCTCGGAAAAATTAAACACGCATCTAAAATGTGTCATGCCAATCAAGAAAGTAAGGATTGAGTGAGAATAATAGAGGGAGCTAGCTGTGCCATTATAGGTAGCACAATACTATTGGTGAAGTGTAGTAATGTGATATGTACATGTTCAGAATAGTGCAAAACTGGTGGGGTACAAAGACTGATGTGCTGATTACAAAAAAATCTTTTAGCAATGCTTAGAGGGCAGACAACAATCGAGATAGCTTTTGAGTGAAAGGAGGTAAGTCTGTTTTGGAAAATAGACACCTTTCAAGCTTTGCTTCCTTAAAAGCAATTGTTATTTAAAAGGATATATATACCCTGTTGTTTTTAAGCTATCCCAAAAGTGCACTCTTCTAACGTATGGGATGTTCAGTAACAGAAATTTCATGTTATAAACTATTTAATAATGTGAAGAGTATTGAAATTAGTACAAGGAACACAGTAATTATATATGCTTTTAGTTTTGATGTTTGAAATATCTATTTCTAATAGAATCTTCATAAAATTTTTAGTAGCAGATTTACCTTGTAGAAATTTTTCTAATCCTAATTCAGTTTCCAAGTCTGTTCTTAGTTGTTCCAAATGACTGAAAACCTCAAAGTCTTGATCAGTCTGAAAACCACCATCATCTAAGCAAAAAAATCAGAGTATTGTTTCATAATAAACAATTTTATAAACAGTGGAATTTAGTCTCATTATGTTAACTGTACAAACAATATGGCCAGTTGCTTAATTTCAAGTATCAATAATTGGCATCATTCACTCTTAGAATTTGATTTTTGAAAATATCAAGATTTAAGTAACACAATTTTTTCTTACATTAAGATCAGAAAATATAAAATGTTTACATCAAACTGAAAATAACTAATTAAAAAATCACATTAATTAGATCTGGAAATAGTTCCAAACTACAAATTTTATATATAAAAAAAAGCTGATATATTCACATTAAAACAAATACCTATGGAGAACAGATTATGGAAATCAAAACTAGGGTATATTTATACACCACCACTATGAATGTTACTTAATCGAACATGATAGTATGAATGTGGATATCCAAACGTCTTACTTGTTACCTACCAAACACCCACATAACAAAACTGAATACTAAGGAAATCACTTCTGTCAACTATCTAGTCCAAACAATGAAGATGTACATTAAAAAGTTTGTACATCTTACTTGTCATCGGTGGTCAACATGATGAAACTGTATCAAAAGAAAGTAGTCTACTTGTTACTAACATCTCACCCACAAGATGGAGTTATGAACCAAGTGACTTTCTTACTGAAATTTGGTTGAATGGACAACAACTGGTTGTTGTGGAAACACAAGCTTAGAGAACAATATTTCAAAAGTTTTCCACTTTGCAAAACATAGTCCTCTATACTCATGTTTCTACAACAGGCAGTTGCCATCCATTGAACCAAATTTCATGATGAATACCCTGTCTAAACAATCTATGAAAGACCTTCTTATTGTCATTAACTTGGAATTCACATGATAAATCCATACAACAAGAGAGTTTATTACCTATCACCTACCCCCCCAAGAGTCCAGGTGATGAAACTGAATACCAGGATGGAATTTTATTTTTCTAAAACCTAGAGTCCACATAGTATAACTGTATACGAAGGTACTCTATTTGTCATTCACTTAGAATTTACAAGATTAACTTGTATAACAAGTGGATATATTATTTGTTTTCCACTTGGAACCCAAGTTGATTTGTCAGTAATTTCTAACCTAAATAAAGTTGTATACCAAGCGAGTTTATTATTTATCCCCAACTTAGAGTCTACGGATGGAAGCTAACAAAGTAGTCATTAGTCATTAACTTCTACCTCACATGATAAACGTGTCTACTAAATGTTATTTTTACTGTATTTGCCTATAAGTCTGATCCAATGAAACTGTAGAGAACAAAATGGCTTCTTAGTTATCACCAACTGTACAAAGAACCCAGGTGAAAAAGATATATATATCTATCCTACATGAAGAAGCTATATGATAAGAATTAAAAAAAAATCATATATCTCATCTGTAACTATGTTATAACCTGTATGATGAAGTTTTAGACCAAAGTGGATTCTTTTTTATTACCAACTGTACTAACTCAATACTGATAGTCTGCAAGATAATGCTTTGTAACAACAACAAAAAAAGATCATTTTTATATTATAACCCATATGATAAAGCTGTAAATCAAGATGGATTCTCATTTATCACATATATTTTACTGTATCAAAAACTTAAGTGAAACTGGATACAAAAATGGTTTCTTGTCACCTACCAAGAGCCCATATAATGGAGCTTGACACAGAAATAGTATCCTGTCTGTCACTGCCTAGGTCTTGTGACGACTGGGACTGTCTGAGTATCAATTCCATGGATTCCCTCACACTGCGTAAATCATCATCAGACTCATCACTATACTCTGAACTTTCTATCACAGTGTAATCATCTCCCTGGAAAAAACATACAAACAAAAAAAAACACCCTCATTTCAGCAAAAAAAAATAGCCAAAATTTTACTACCCATGACTTAACTGAAAAAGTTCCAAAATGGCTACAACATTAAATGTGAAGACTTAAAGACTAGTTTATGAATTGTATTTAGTTCATCATGGCCTAGATGATGAAATTAGATCTATAAGAATATAAGTAAAGCAAAGCAACACACTGTGGCATAGTCAGCATCAAATGTATGTGGATGCATATATGTGAAGCCCTGGTGCGGGGTCTGAAGGACAAGTCATTATAACCAATGATGTATTGAAAATAAAGTGGAATGAGTGAATGGAAAGACATTACTTTTATATTTCTTTATATTGTCTGTTTATACATTAAATATATATTATATGTCTTTAAAAAAAATTGTGAAAACGATGTGGATGCTTAAGCATACAATCATTCTTGGTAGCTACACCACTGACAGAAGGTCATTTAACTCATATACACACAGGCCACCCCTCCTCCATAAAAGCTAGCAATCAAAATGTAAAAACAAAATACAGCTTCATATAACTAAATACTCAAAAAACTTACTGAACTACAAAAAAAAAGTTTCCACAGACCAAGAGTCATTCAGCCTTCCATACATTCTATTGCATTATGGCATAGGTATTTCACTTTGATACCTACCTAAAGGTTCTAGAAGTAGCTGTTAATTAGTAATTGGTAGTGCAAATATGAGATATTCATTCTAAAAGTTAACATTTTCCATACCTGAAAACATACTTCTGATAAATATTTATCTTTCTTCACACACATTAGCTATTCTTCATATGTATACTTATGAGATTTTGTGCATGCCACTAACCTTGAGCTACCTCCTGTCTAAGACATATGTTATAACTGGTCTAAGTCATGATAGCTTTAGAAACATCTCTGAAAACTTCAAGGTGAAGAAAAGAAGCCAGACAGAGGTAAGAATGAAAAGACAAACAGTAGAAAGAAGAGCATCACGTCCCAGATGAACCAAATAAGCAAGAACAAGGTAGAAGACAAAATCCTGACCAAGGTATAAAAAAGGATTTAACTTAGACAAATCTCACAGAATTGGTTAAGTTTAAACTTAAAGAAACACATCTATTAAAAACAGTGCAATGGATAAGAATGAAGATAATTTTGAGTTTGAGTGCTTACAGGGATCTACTGCGAATGGGGAATGTGTCATTATCCTATTGGTGGAAGGATATTGTCACATGATGATTACATCATGCACTAGAAAAGTTAATGTTATAACACATCTTAGGTAAGAAATAGCTCAAGGCTAGTGGCATGTATGAACTCTCAAAGGCAGACACATGAGGAATGGCTACTGTGTGCAGATGTAAGAATATTATTTCTGAAATCTACAATACCGACACAATGCTAATATCAATAATGGTACAAGGTACATGTAAAATACTTACATCAAACAGTTCTTCAGAATCATGGTTAAGTTGTACAAGATTTTCCTTTTTAGAATTTTCTTCTCCTACAGAAATATTCCTCAGTTGAACTTCATTTTTTGACACTGTAAAGTATCTTAGGTCTGGAAGGGAAGAAGTGCGCAAGTGTGGCACATGTGTATCACTTGTAAAAGTAACACTTGGTACACCAGTTGCTTCTTTAACTTCAGTCACATCTGCAGATATATAAATGTTTCTGATTTCTTCCTTCTCCTTTTGAGAAGAATATTCATCAGTCCTATGCGCAGGTACACCTAAATTTTCTATAGTGATATTTTTATCCTTGGCAGTTTCATATTCCACAGAATTTGCAGAATGTATTTTTTTCAAATCTAACTTGTTATATAACACTTCACAATCTTGTTTGCTTTGTTCAAATAAGCCAAAATTTTCTTCTTCTTCTAGAACAAGAACTTGAAGAGGTTCATTAACCAGTCCTGTTACATTAGGCACTATTTCAGACATAACATCTTCAACATTTTCCTCAATACCTATTGTTTTGGAAATTTTATTATCTTCACAAACATTTTTTTCTACAGTGGTATTCCCTTCCAAAATGGTTTTTGAAACTGGTTCAATTAAACAGGTTGGTTCAGTTTGTGGAATGACATTTGAGATTTCATCAATCAACATCTGGTTCAGTTTTAAAGGTAAATTTTGGCTGGTAGGAACCAATGACAACATATCTAATGTCATACCTAAATTACCACCTAGATTTCTGTGTTCTGGTGTCTTCTCTTCAGAATCTTGATCATATGTACAACAACTAGAGTCTCCTTCACTTTTATCATATCCACTTACAAAACCAGATGAAAAAGAGCTTCCATCATCACAAACATACTTACTCCGACTGCCCATTTCAAATAAGCAGTTTTCTTGGGAATCATCTCTATCATTGGCAGTAATGAGTAAATCCATATCAGCAATATTTAAGTCATGAATCTTACGATCTACATTCTTTTGTAATACAGCATTTTCTGAAAAATTTATCCCTATCAGGTAATTCTCAGTCAGACTTCCAATGTCTTCTTGATTACTTATATTTTCAGAGTTATGTTGGTATAATGGTAAATCAGATGATAAAACTGAGCCAACATTTCCATCCATACACTCAGTTTCTTTTATTTTTAGTTCTTTGTCTAACCTATGATCTTCCAAATATTCTATTTCTTGTTCATTGCCATAAACTTCTTTAACTTGTTCAAATTCTTTTTGATAATTTGGGAATATAATATCTTGCTTGTCGCTTTCTTCAGTAGCTTGGGATATTGTTTCATTTACATTACCATTTTCAAGTTCTTTATCATTACTACTTGCTTCTTCAAATTGACATTCCGGTAACATATGAAAATAAGTACCAACACAATCATCTACAAAACCAAAATCAATGTCATCAGTTGTTGAATTAACAATATAATCTGCAACCAAAGTGGATTCTGAATTACTTTTATCCTCATCTTTATCAAATGATTGTGAAACAATTTCATCGCCATATACATCTTGTCCTTCACTTCTATATGACTCAAACGTATCCTTATAACTTGTATCACTTTTAGCAGTGGAAAGAAAGAATAAGCTATTGCAAGTTTCCTGGTATATATTCTCTAAGGGCTTACTTAAATCATCAAAAACAGTTACCATAGGTTCACTTAGACTTTGTTTTTGAGGAATAATCTCTGTGACTTTGTTTCTTTCAGATTTTATTTCTGTTATTTGTTCAGTGCTATTTCTTGAAATATCATCATCATCATGAGAACTTTTGGAAATTACATTTCTAACATTTTCTGAAGAGTCGTGCTCATTACCAACTCTTGGACAATCATTTTCAGTGACCATCTTAATGTTATCTTTTTGACAGTGATCCATTTTAAGTATTTCTGAACTCAAGGATGAGTTAGTTTGTATTTTCTTCATTCTACTTTTCTCTTCGTGTGTTACATTAGACCAACAAAGAAGCTCACACTTATCTTCTACTTGTGCCATTGTTTCTTGCTGTGGTACTTGTAAGCTGTTATAACCATCTTTAGTTATATGTAATTCCTCCACATTTATTGTAGCATGTTTTTTCATATTTGTCTGAATGTCTTCTTTTGTATGGTACATAGTGCAAGAATCATCAATGTTTGTCTCTGACGCTTTTAGAGGTTTTTCATTCTGATTTTCTTCTGTGGTATTATTACCAAAATTCTCATCACTAAGCATTTTGCTTGTTAAATTTACTTTACTATTTTCTTCAAAACTTCTTCCTATGTGTACATCTTTGTAAGTTAACTCACCACTTCTTAGAAGATTATCTTCACACTTTTGACTAGTTTCATTATTTGCTTTCTGACTACTTTTGTTGTCAAAACAGTTGTGAAAATTTTTAGTTTCAACAAAATAGCTTTCATAAATAGCATCTGGACTTCTAGTGGTTTCACTTAAAATACTGGCTTCACTAAGAGCTCTAAGAAGGGTAGATGATGGTTTCTGCCACTGACTTCTGCACAGTTTGGGTAAACTGACAGGAGCTGACACTGGTCTACTGAACATTATGACACCATCTGATGGAGTAGTAGATTCCATTTGAGATGCTGTTTCTTGTAAAGGTAAGTTTGCTAAATCATTGACTACTGATAACTCACTCCATTTTGATCTAGATGAAGAAATAATACCATATACAGATTTTAAATTGTTACCATTGTAGTTTTGTTTTTCAAAATTCACTGTAACTTCAGGAGTTTCTCTTTGTGAAGCACCTTTATGCAAAGATAGTAAGAAATCATTTTTTGATACATGTGGAAACATATAATTCTTCATTTCTCCACTCTTTATCTTTATTTTTTCTTCTTCATAAGCTTTACATAGTTTTGCTTGTAATCTAACTCTCAACTTTTCAGTATAATTTTTTAAAGTTGTTTCAGAATCAACATGCTTTTCTTTCTCTTCTGCTATACATAATGCTGTGGGATTTTCAGATTTTCTTGCCTTCATTCGCTCATATATTTCTTTTTGTTCTATGTAGTTTTGTTGCCGAATGGCTTCAAAACATGACAAATATTCTCTTTCTCTCTCATGTTGTTGCTGTTCTCTCTTACATAAGTTATCTAATGATTGAGGTTCATTAACGAAAGAAATGTCTTTGTCCAATATCTCTCTTTCTGCATTCATTTTGTTAAGATGAGCTTGATTTCTTCTTGCCAGAAACTCCTCTATCAAAGTATTATATTGTGCAGGTTTGGATAATTCATTTTGTTCAGAAATATTTTTTTTATCTCTTGATACTCCACCTAACTGACTTGTACTACTATTTACTGAATACCAGTGATACAAACCAGTATTCTTCATATTTTCTTTTCTTTGGTTGTTACTTCCTTGCAATTTATTAATTAACTCATGAAATTGAGCATAACTTTGCTTAAAGTTTGGTTCTTGATATTCATATTTTATTTTATTCACTTCTGGTTTATGAACATGTGGAAACACTTCCTTTTGAGCTTTTTTTTCATATGAAATAAGATTTTTCCAACCTTCTCTAGCTCTGTTTATTCGCATTATTTTCTGTTTTTCAAAAAGCTGCATATGCTTTTTGCTGACATTTTCATTACTGTTGGCCTCATTTTTTTGCTTTTTATTTGGTAAATTATTAGACTTTTTACATGCTACCAAGTTCTGTTGACTCTGAAAATCACAGTTCTTTTTCTGTACAGTTTTTGGTTTTTTTAGTGCAATGGAATTCCCATATTTTGCTGCTGGCCCAGTGATTTTAACTTTGTTTTCCCTCTCCCCCATTGGTTGAGGAGTAGGTGTCCTTACAGCAGGAAATATTCTTGGTTTTTGAGAGTTATGGATAATAGTGTGACTAAATTCTTCTTGATACTGTGAGTCTGTAAGGAATTTTCTAATCCTTTTAAAAAGGAATGGTTTTCTTAGAATGACATTAATTGAAGGACGGTCTCTTGGATTTCGCTTGAAAAGCTGATTTATTAAGTTCCTTAAGTCATAGCTATAATGTGGAGGAACAGGAGGATATGATCCTCTAATTATTTTGAGAACCAAGTTTTTCATGTTTTTAGCTTCAAATGCATGTTTGAGTGTTGAGAGTTCATACAAAACACATCCCAATGCCCAAATGTCACTCTTATTATTATATGGTTTATTGTCACAAATTTCTGGGGATAAATAATATGGTGTTCCAATACAAGTACGAACAAGTTCTGCAGTACTGCTCAATACCCTAGCTATTCCAAAATCCCCTAATTTTACCAGACCTCCTTTTGTTAAGAAAATATTTTGAGATTTTATATCTCTATGCAAAATCTTACGGTCATGCACATGCTTTAAAGCTAGGCAGATCTGAATAAACCAATCTATTATGGTATCCTCAGGAAATGGCATTCCACGTTGTTGATTAATTTGTGAATAAAGATCTCCTCCATCACAATAGTCCATCACAATGTATAAATTTCCATTCTCTTCAAAGGACTCTCGATACCCCACTATATTTGGATGTCTCATCTGAGACAAAACTGCCACTTCCTTTTGTGCTTCATCCCTTTCATCCTGAGACATCTTTGAAATGTTTATTTCTTTCATAACAAATGATACATCACTTTCTTTCTCTTTCACAAGTAAAGCTGTTCCAAAAGATCCCTCTCCAATTTTTTTTATCTTTTTGTACTTCTCCATTGTAATTTAATAATAATAGTACCATAAAAACTTTCTAACACTGGAATACCACTTTTTCAGGACTTTACAGGTTATAAAACCCATAAGCTGTAAGTGCATAAAGGCAACAGTGAGTAACATGAACAGCTTAAAAATAAGTGAATACTTTATAAGTTATACATACAAATTATATAAATGCACAATCCAGAAACAAAAAAATACAGAAAAAATTGGGTTTAAATGCTTATATCAGTGATTTGATTTCATTGATTCACATTTTAAAGTTGAACTGCAGGTAGGTGTAAAACTGCGAGTTTAAATTTTATGCTATTAATATATTCAGTATTATAATTAGTAAACAGCAACACTTCTACTTAGTTCTAGAGTATGGGGAGGAAATAATAACTGTGAACTTACAAACTTTACCAAAACAGTCTGAGAATGTTTTTGAGTTGTAACTTGTATAACGACATCAGTGAAGCTGAAGGCTTAACTCAAACAGAAATCAGTTTACAATACAAAATGAGTGTGACGGTGACATTACACTAGTCTACAAACGTAGTAAATGTAGCATAAAGACACAATGCGATAATTTTATACATGCAACAAGATACTTTTCTTCTTTGAAATTAACAAACATATTCAACACTGACATCTGGAGTGCTTGAACTTACTAATATATTCTCAGTAATGAGTAAAACATACGAAATGATTAAGAATTTTGAAACACATGACCACAAAAATAATCGCGCACAGTATAATGTTAGTTGCGCCGCCACCTATCGCATTGCTAGGCAACTGTAAAACGCTTAGATTGTATTGATAAAAGTGGTATGACTATGAGACAGTGTAAATCCTAGGCTTAAGAATAAAATTTAAAGTGAGTGAAAAATTATAACTTACTAGACCACCGTGACCCATTGGGTCAACCACTATTCAGAGGTTATGAAGAATTCAAACTAATTTCAATATTGCACCGAAATGAAGGTTTATTTTGAGATAAT